CTCACACACACACACGCATGCACACACACACACACACACACACGCACGCACTAACAAACACACACACACACACACACACACACACACGCACACATCCCCTCACCCCAGGCTGTCTGCAGACACCCCAATGTACGACATGCTCAAGCTATTCCAGACCGGCCGCAGCCATATGGTGGTCCTCACTGACTCCCTCGCGGCCGTCCGCGCCGCCGAGGCCGCCGCCGAGGCCGCCCGAGCCGCCGGCGACGGCGAGGGAACAACCGCGGCCGAGGGCGGCGCGGAGCAGGAGGGGCGGCCGGCGACGGCCGGCAGCGGCGGCGGCGGCGGCGGCGGAGGGAGCGTCTTCAGTCGCCTGCTGGGGTCGGCCGCGGACGCGTCGGACGGCGCCGCACTCGAGCGGACGGGGAGCGGGCCGGCGCCCTTCCCGAACTGGTCGGCCGACGAGGAGGGTACGTACGTGCCCGTGGGCATCATCACTATTGAGGACGTGATAGAGGAGCTGATGCAGGCTGAGATCATCGACGAGACGGACGTGAGCCGGGGGGCTGGGATGAACTCAGATCTGGGATCATGCATCTGATCTGGGTGTTGCGCGTTGGATCGCCCGCAAGGCGTCTCCTGGGGTTTGGGATCGATTGGTTGCACTGGGTGAAGCAAGAAGCCACCTAGTCCGCTTTACTGCGCCCTGTGCTGTCTGCTTTCGTCCCCTCCGCGGCATGCCGCTGCCGCTGTCCCTCCATGTCGCGCGACTTGCCTCCATCCCTCCTCGGTGCACGCCCTTGCCTCCACCTCCCCCCAACACACGCACCTCTTTGCCGCCCACCCCGACAGTGCACCCCACCACTCCCATAAACAGGCCTGCCGTCCCAACCAAAAAACCCTTCCTTCCCCCAACCGCCCCAACCACCCAGCTCTTTGTGGACAACGAGAGGAGTGTCAGGGTCAACGCCCACGTCCTGGCCCAGGCCCTGCCCGCCAAAATCAGGCAGGCGCTGCAACTCAACCCACACGGCGCCTCGGGCGCGGGTGGCGCTGGCGCCGGCACGGGCCCGGCGGGTGGGCACTGGCAGGCAGTGTCCGTCGGCGCCGCGGGCGCCGCGGCGACGCTGTCGCCGGGGGGCGCGGCCGGCAGGGAGAGCAGCGCGGGCGGCGGGCCAGCCGGCGCGGGGCCGACGGTGACTGTCAGGAAGGCCAACTTGAGGACGTTGAGCGCTGACCTGGCGCCGAGGTCCCCTGGCGCGGCCGGGCGCGCGGGGACGGGCTCGGGCGGCGGGGCGGCCGGCGGCCGGCGCGGGGGTGGCGACGAGGCGGGGGCGTCGCTGCGGCAGCCGCTGCTGCAGCCGGGGGAGCGGTCTTGAGCGGCGGGGCGGCGCGTTTTGGCAGTTGGTGTGCGCTTTGGGATTCCTGTTGGTCTGTCTCTTCCTTCTTGGGTGGGGGCAGCTGCGCAGCAGCTACAACTCAACTTCCACTGGCGGCGTCCCCCTGTTGAGCCTGGGCGGACGACAGCGCGGCAAGCCTCGAGGGCGCGTGCTCTCAGGGCCTGCCGCGCCTCTGCCCGCCCTCCACTTGGTGTATTTTCCGGGGGTCACTTGATCCGCGCCCCCTTTTGGCGCACAGCCCACCCATGTCACCCCCAAACCCTGATCCATGGCCCTGAACCACCAACTTCTTTTGGGCGACTGTCGATGCTGCCAGCAGCTCGCACTGCGGCTGCGGCTGCTGCTTTGTAAGCGCCCACACCCACTCGAGTTCGATCCCCCCTCAGGCCAGCACTTTGACAAAGCTGCCACTGATGCCGAGCCCAGGAGGTTGAGACAGCAAGCGCCATGACAGGTTGCATGATCGCAGGGCCCACGGCGCGTGCCAGGCAATTGGGAGGTGCACGCCTTTCCCGGCCGGAAGGAGTGGCGGCCAAAGTGCTGAGTGCGGCGCTGCGTGCGGCCGTGCGCAGGATTGCGCCACAGCCGCGTGCAGGTGAGCGTGTGGTTTGTGCAAATCAGGCGTTTGGGCCCAGCAGCGCTATGTAAGAGGCCGCCGGCCCAGGCGAGAAAGGGGGGTGGTGGGAGGGTCGAGCGCCGCCGCACGGTGCAGCGAGTCACAGCGGGGCGCCTCAGGTGGCGGGGAGATAGCCGGCTCATGGCCGCGCCATACATTGTGTGCTTTGGGCGACAGCGAGACACCCAGACTCCGGGGGCGGCTGAGGCTCGATAGCGGCTATGGATGACGGCTGGAAGCTGCCTGTGGCCCGGCCTGGCGTGTGGCGGCGTCTGCGCATGCAGGAAAGTTTCTACACAGAGACTGCAGACGCCGCCCTCGCCTCAAAAGGTGTGCATGCGCAGTGATGGCATATCAAGGCTGGATGGAATTTGTACAGAGGAACAGGTTTGGGAACGATGCCGCCACGCAAAATTTCGGCGGTGCGATAAAGAGGCCCGCCCCAACAAGATGTGCGCAAAACACCTCCCGCACACAAAGCCCGCCTGCCGCCGCCCCCCGAGGCTCGTCATCCCCGCGAGTTGATGACGCAGCCCTCGCTCCACCCCTCTGCCTGTTCACGTCGCCGCGACGACCGTCGCGGGGTGTCGCCGCCGCCGCCCGCTGGCCGGCGACCCGGGAAGCTGCCGCCCGGTCAGCAGGCCCTCCAGCGCCTCCTCGGCTGCCTCTGCCAGCTCCTCAGGGCGCGGCAGGCCCCGCATGCGCGCGACTGCGCGGCGGACGCCCTCGACGCTGTCTGGCAGCGCCTTGAAGTAGCGGACCTGCGGGGTGGCGGTGGGGGAATGGAGGTGTGAGAGGGTGTGGGTGTGTATGCACGTGTGTGTACTTGTGTGTGTGTGTGTATGAATGCATGTGTGTGTGCACGTGTGAGTGTGTATGTGTTGAGTGTGAGAGTGTGTGTGTATGTGTGCACGCGTGCATGCACGCTCGTGGATGCACTGTGCATGAGTCTCATGCCACCATGCAGCTTGGCACGGCAACCGTGGCGAGTCGACGCAACAGCAACAAAGCCAAACACGCGCGCCGGCCCCGCACCCGGCAGGGCGCTACGCTCACGCATCCTGCCGCCTGGCTCGAGGCGCCACGCAGGGCCTCGCACCGCCCCCTTCCGCCCCCATCCCCTGCCCCCTCACCAGCATATTGGCCCCGGCCTTGAGCTTCCTGTCCACGCTGCCGTCTGGCCGCCATGCGTACAGGCCAAACTCCATCATGTAGCCCGCGTTCCACTCAAAGTTGTCCTGGGGGGTTGGCACGGTCGAGGTTGGGGGTGCAGATGTACATCATGTGTGTGTATGCGGAGGGGTGGGG